AGTTGTAAGTGGGTTCTTATGGAAAGATGAATTGACATGGTTTGTAAAAGAATTAGAGTAACCTGGCATCATCACTGACAAAATTGCAGCAGTTGGATTATGAACAGAAATTTTTTCAAAAACTGTTCGAATTCTCTCTTACTAGGTTTGTTTATACAAGTATTCCAAGTTTTATCCCTTGACAAATAAGGTTTTTGTATATATTTTTCTTCAAGGCATCGCCGTTTGCTCGCAGTTGCAGCTGACGTAAAGTTAATTTTTTTGTAGTGGTTTGTAACCACAATCTTTTACATGTGGCACTATCCAATTATTTAATCGGTCAGTACATGTCTGGGAGATCTTTATTTTAATTCCTTCTGCATTGGCAAAAAGAATAACACCAACATGAGAGCAGGAAGAAGATTGTCCAGCCATGCAATTGCAATGCCCAGTTATCACCTCTTCATTTTTCTTAGCTAAAACCCACACTACTGAAGCTGGCTGCCGTAGATTTTGTGAGTGATTAATTAACCTGTGTACAAAAACAATGTAAGAAACTGTGCTATTTACTTCTAATAATATATTTAAACAATAATAGGTTATTAAATCACACTTCTAGCCCACAACATAAATTAAGATTAAACTAATTAGCCTAATAAACCTCCAATTTATTATAGCCACATTTATCAAATCAGGGACTGATTAGAGCAAAATAGACTAAACTTTTACAAAAAAATAGCCTTTAATTAACCACAATCAAATTTTTAGTAGAATGCATTTCAAGCATCTCTGTATGGATGTATTAGGCTGATTTGGGTCTTTGTGCCCGAAATATGCTGATGATAAGCTTGAAATGCATTCTACTAAAAATTTAATTGTGGTTAATTAAATGCTATTTTTTTGTAAAAATTTAGTCTATTCTGCTCCAGTCAGTCCCTGATATGATAAATATGGTAACAATAAATAGAAGGGTTTATTAGGCTAATTAATTTAATCTTAATAATAGGTTGTTAGACTCGCACAACACAAAACCATGGGGACAAAAAAAAATTTGATGTTAATTATGAATACAACTTAATCAACTTAAAATGTGACTAAATATAAAATTAAATTCGTCTTTATATAACGCAGTTTATGTTATGAGAAATGGAAAGTCTGAAATGAAGACACGTACCTTTCCTACAAGCAAAATTAAATCATTACGATTTATCTTGATAAAATTTCTCGATGAATAAATCCACTTGTCAAATAACTATGAGCATCGAGTGATTTGTATGCCTTCATCTGACTTAGTGTGACAGCGTTAGCTAATTAGTTATTAAAACTAAATAATTTACTATGTCTCCATGTTCTATAGTGGGCCACGTGGTTAAATCGTTAGATGAAAAATCTGTTGGTTTCATTTCGTATGGATCCCATCCAATAAAAGAAATTTTTTCTTTATATTCTATCAAATCATTATCTTTTAAATCGGCTGCATAACCAGGTAAGATGCCTTTCTTCCACGTTGACATAATAAGCGAAAGAGCGAGCAAACGTCAAATAAGCAACCAATATGGCGGACGATTGTTTTGGTGGGCGGAGCGATGACGTTTATCACGTGACTGCACCTCCTCTATTGTGGATAAATTAACAGCAATTGGCTGATGATATCCTGAGAGGATTATTTGAGAGAAAACAAAGCAGCTGCACGGTGACCTAAAGAAATGGGACATTATCACTCCTTACTACGATACAGTAAATTATACAGTATTTACGCATATTATTTATTGTTTATGTGTTTTAATTTATTATTTAGATCAATTAATTGTGTTATTTTTACCCAAAATTATGCTTATTTGCTGTTTAAGTTTATCCAAATGATCCATTCCCAGACCCTAAACGCTACCGCGTTTAGGGTCTAAGAACGGATTAATTACTTTTTATTATTTCTAAGAGAAAAATTAAAAAATCCGAAAAATTGGGACTTCGAACGAGTTCATGGAACGAATTAAATTTGAAGTACGAAGCATTGGGTTTTGAAAGCGTTTATTGTTCTCTTTGACGCCATACGAGAGTACCATGCCGATTTCTCAAAGCCAGCATGCGTACGGAATACAGTATTTCGATTATCAATCCCATGTAAAAATATCAAGCATCTCGTGAGCGATATCCAAATCTTTTGTCACCCGGGAAAAAAAGTATCGTTCGTTTCGTGGAACATTTTTGGGAAACAGAAGATAGGAAAGGAGAGTGGACGACCGTCTGTTTTAATTAAGAGATTAAAAGAGAATAAAGAGAAAAAAGTTGGACCAAAATGAAGCTTTCTCTAAACGTAAGTTTACGGAAATTTTCCAATTAGATTAGGTTATCTTATGGCAGTCGGAATACAACTGAACTTGTATCCTCTTGCCTCGGTTGCAGAACTAAAACCGTGTGATTTTCAGAAACGTTTGCATTTCTGCAGATGGTTGCAAATTTTGTGCCAAAATGGAAGAAGAGAACTTGACAATGTGTTTTTCACCGACGAGGCGTACCTCATCGGTGAAAAATACCAACATTACTATTGCTATCGAAAACATCAGTACATTAGAGCGTCGTTTATCCGAAGGTCGATTATCCGAAACGTCGGTTATCCGAAGGAATTCCAGTCGACAAATTTAAATTTTCGATAGTGCTGTGGCGCTGTAATCTTTGGCTATGTCTTCGGCTACTCAAATATTTTACGTTTTTGATACTAAATTAACTTCTGAAGTATAATTTTTTATTGTTTTTATATATTTTCAATATATTTATTTCGTTTGTACAAAATAAAAAAATAATTTTTAACGATACAATAGTCTTCGTTAGGCTTAACATCGGCGAAAGTTCAACGCGAAGCGACACGCAACGGAGAAAAAATTTCAACACGGGATAAATTAATGTATTTTTTCGTACATAATTGGTTATCCGAAGAACACCAGTCCCCAATTGATTCGGATAAACGACGCTCTACTGTATTTTAACATTACGCAAAGTGACTTCAGGGAGGAGCTTGTGCTTGCAATCACGGAGAGCTGTGCTTCATTCACGTGTTTGAAAACCGAGACATTTTGAATTCCTGCTGTAATTACGCACAGGAAACATTCTTATACAAGAACACATTTTGTTAATGTGTTGAATAATATATAAAAATTAGGATAAAATGAATTTATGTTAGTTTAACGAGAAAGGCTTAAGTTTAACATTTGGGTTTTCTAGATCAAGTAGGTTTTTCTCTAGGTGTATCTGCAGTGAACGATGAAGTAAGAGAAGAGTACAGTTATTTTGACGATTTTTAAGCTTTTCAATTGCTTATATTTCGGAAACCTCTTCATAGAACATCTTGAAATTTCGCACTCTACCTTAAAAAAACAATTTTCTTTCGAATGAGATATTCGGAATTACTTTGAGTGTTTTGGGAGCGAAGAAAGCGACCCCAAAAAATCGGCAACTCTGATTCCAGTATATGTAGTCAGTAGATGACTTCTTTACTTGGCGGAGTTTCACTGCTGTGAGTCCTAATGTGATAAAGACTACAGCATTGTGAAAAAATGAACATTAACAATATATGTATAGTTTATAAAAATATTTATAGATCGAAACCTCAAATAAGAAGAAATAAAAAGTTTAAATGCGAAAAAACAAAGAAACGAAAGATATCCAATGTGTATTTAATCCATCTGAAATTTTAAAAATGTATTCATACTTATTCCATAGTATCGTCGTTGTTGCATTTTAATTTCTGCATCGCTCAACAAACGACTTTTACCCGTGCCGATGTTTATTGCCACCGTTCGATCAGTTTTCTTTTATTAGTAGTGGTGGTGGGAATGCAACGGAAAACTTAGTTGTCGGTAGAGAAATAAATAATATTTCAATAATGTAACTATTTATGGATATTTGTTTACGATAAAAATTAAAAATCGTTCCTACTTTCTACACGTAAGAAATAACGGATTAAATGGGATGAATCATTAAGGAAACTTAGTCTAGAAGAGAGACGATTATTTAAACGTAAAAGGACGAAGGTATGTATAGCTTTCAAAATTTTTTATTTTTCATAAGTTTCTATATACACTCACATACATATATGATATAACGATAGTATATATGTAATAATAAATTGTTAAGTAAACTTATTATAATAATCTTAATTAGTTGGTGTATTTTTATTAATAAAATATATTATTATCTGACGATACACTCTTCAAAATAATTGAGACTCGGTTTTCACATTCGAAGTTAAAAATGTTTAAAATGCTTAATGGTGATAATCCAATTTTAGCATGTTTCGTTTATTTATTCAAAGATAGCCATTTTTACGTTTTTTTTTTTAAATTATATGGTTATATATTATTAGTGCCTTTGTTTTTATGTGTAATGTAATTCTCTATCCACAACTCGTAAATGGATTATAATTAAAAAAAAACGATTGATAAGATGTTTAGGTCACATGTTACATTTATGAATATCGTGTACGCCCCTTAGAGTGGCTGGCGTCCACGACTATTATCAATGTTATGATTAATTATATTATTTACGTTCTTATATCGAATAAACATATCGAAGTGAAATGTAGAACCATAAAAACTCTGCATTTTTTATCATTTAAAACTTTAAATATGATTATTTTTCGCAAAATCGATCGTTCTTTCAAACTATCTGATATTTTTCCAAGCTGTCATATTAAAAAAAATTAAAATACCTTGTATTTTAAAAAACATTTAAGCTAAAAATTTTGTAAATTGAGAAAAGCCTGATGGTTTCTTTACAATTTTAGAAGAATTTTATTTACTTAATCCACTATAATAACAAAAATAAAACTTTTTTCACTGAAAAAAATGTATTCGATAAACTAAATAAAATATTAAGAATTTTATTTATACTGTTTTGTTAAGATTTAAAATGTTACAGTTTTTATATTCTTATTATCGTAATTTTAATTTACTTGGTCAATTTTGTAAATATTTATATTATATAATATTGCATAACTTCGCGAGTATCTGTACATATTATATTATACAATACGTACTAATACTTAAGATGTTGAAATTTAATTTTTTAAAACAATATTACGTTCTAAATTATGTTTAAGATTTTGTTGTTACTATTGTGAACACGATAGATGCTTAGATGTTAACTGTTGTGCCATGTGTTTAATTGGCGAGTTTAAAACAAAACATTTTTTATAATGTAGTTTAATTTTTATACACAAAATAAGTTACATAAGTTACTAATTAAGTTTAAATTTCCTTTCAAATGGAAAGGTTAAATCCCAAAACCTTCCCAACGTGCACGACCTTGCTATGCAGCTGCTAGTAAAAGTTTACAGTCGAAATATAGTCTTATAACAACAGATTGAAATTGCCTCAAAGTTGAATGGAAACGTAGTTAGTGTTGAATAAGATAGTTTATATAATCCCGGAGATGTTTATTACGAAGGTATGCGAATAACATTCTTCTGGTGAAAGACTGTCTGACATTTACATTCAAATAAATGGAAAATGCTTAAACGTTAACAACTTACTTTAAATACTATTAATCATAACTTAACATTCTGTTTAAACGACGAAATCTGACATTTAAATCGAGGGACGGATGGCTGAAGAGACAAAGGCTTCGTCCTTCTTCTCTGAGAATCCGGATGACAGTTGGAGTGGGGAAGATGGAAAATGTTTACATGATTTATTGAAGATTAGACATTAATAATGAAAATTTCATGATTTTCGAGATGCAGATATTCTCGTCTTTTGGAGTTTTAAAATTTAACTAATTCATTGATAATCTGATCTCGAAACAATTTCAACGAGAATATAACTTCGTTTATATGTGCTCTCCTTACGCAAACGCTAACGTTTAGCATAAATACAGAAGAAAAACATTATATTCTCAAGCCACACGTGATTGCTATATGATTCGTAATTTCTGATCTTATGTAATATTGTAGTACAATACAGCGAACAGGGTTCAATTTGTAGGATTACAGATTGTGTGTTACATTTTTTCGTTCCTACTAACTTAAAATAGATAAAATTCAATGGTTGCTTTCATAGACAAAATATTTTTAATTGATGTGTAATTATGAATTTTAATTTATCTGTAATACCGAATATAAAATAGGCCTATATAGAATTAAAAATGAAATAATTTTACGCAGGAATCAGATAAAATAAAAATATTCATTTTAAAACAATTTATATCCATATTATAAATACGTAAAAGCTGTTTAAATTTCACCAATAATTAAATTAATTCAAATTTAATTAAAAATATGATCATATTTTTATTAATTATTTTTACAAAACCGAAATAAACGATTTGAAAAGTTTTAAGATTTCTTTTGAAGTTGATGCCATTGAAGAAGAAATGTTATCGAAGAGCAAGAGAAACTTATGACCTGTTAAAATAAAATAAAGTATATTATCAATTTTAAGCAACAATACGACAAGTTTTAATTGGGTAATTGTTAAAAATAATTTATTCTTTAATATTATTTCTACATTAAAGTATAATGTAAAATAATAAGTAGTATATTGTAAGTAGCCTATATAAAGTACGGTACATAAAAAGTTGTTATTAGTTTGTAAAATTCTATAATTAGTCATTGTATAATGTTACAAAATAGAAATCTTTATATAAATTTTATATAAGATGTATTAATGCATAAAAAACTGATTAAAACAATCCTTTATACATTAAAATTTCAAAATTTATTTATGGTTATTTCATACTTATAATGATTTCTAAATTCCAAATTAATGGATTATAGAAACATCATTTTCAAAGAGTATGTAGTATGCAAATAATAAATAGATTTTTAATGATTTCTTAACTCATTACCTATATTTACCTTTACTTTGAAAAAAAATTTATTTCCTAAATTAGGTCTTTCGAGAGGCATTCATATTGATTAGGCAATATAGGAATGTAAATGACATAGGAAGAAAATAAGTAAGTCAAACCTTTACAAGTTTTATTTCTTTGCTGCATACTTCGTATCTATTTTTACTTCTCCGGCTGTAATACGGTGTATATAAAAGAGGAAAAGTTTGGCAAAACATGACTTTAAAATTTTTACATTTTTGGACTGAAGACATCTTAAAACGTCGAGAAATGCAAAAAAAAAAAAAAAAAATCGGGGATTTTTTTCTGTATGTAAGAATGCTAGTTTGTGTAGGGAGAACGAACCCTATTAAACCCTAACAAAGCTTAATAACTCCTGTGCTTTTTGTGGAAAATTTCTGAAGTTTTGCAGAGAGGGTTTGGTTATGAAGGGGTCGATTCTATTAATTAAAGTTTGGTGATTAAAGGTCGGGAGGATGGGGACATAATGGGGGTCGTGTGTATCTGCAGTCAGACTTAATAACAATTTTATTCGTTATTAGCATTCACAATTTTTTTTATAAAACTCATCCCTACCCTCAAATTTAAGCTTCTTGCCGTTTTAAATAGTTAAAAATATAAAAGTTCTTAAAATAAAATATAATAACAGATGACTAGACCAAATGTTGCTGGGAATGATAAACAATTCATTGCTGGATTATTAAAGTACAGACTCAGTTTATAACAAATAATTGATTGTTCAATTTACTTTTTCATTACGCATTAACTAAAATAATTGTTAACAAAAAATTAAAAAATAAAACGTGGTCTGTGAAATGGTCTGCATTGTTTACAACTAAAGCATCTATAAATTTAATATTTTTATCTTTGTTCAAAATGTTTATACAGTGTTGTCTCGTACTTCGAATTTAATTCGTTCCAGGAGGCCATTTGAAGTTCGAATCAATTTTCTGCATTAAAAATAATGAAAAGTGAATTAATCCATTTCCAGACCCTAAACCAGGAGTGGCGAATATATGACACGCCTGTCCAATGTGGCTCTTCTGGAGAAATCATCCGTCACATAACGAATCATACGATTTCGGTTTATCATGTGTTCTTTTCACTTATCCTTTCAATTTATTATCCGATTATCTTTTTCTTCAGTCATCTTTACATATATTCTAACTAAAGTATATTTATTTCATTTATTTTATTTATTGAAAGTTTAAAACTTCGAAACGCATAAACATATTTAAAGATAATTACGCTCACCACGTTGCACCAGAGCTCTAAAAAGTTCGACATCCTTGCCCTAAACAATATCCATTCCATAAACTTAAACAGCAAATACACATAATTGGTGATAAAAAAAAATTAAGTGCCCTAACTGAAATAATGAAATGAAAATTGCATTTAATGGTCGCACATCGTGGACTTCAGGATCTTTAACACGACTGCCAGATTCGACACGTGTGCCTATTTCATAATATTACAATCTTCCATTTAGATTAGTGTTTCTCAACGGGGGCGATATCGCCCCCATGTGGGCGTTTTTCCGTGTTGAGGGGGCGATTAGTAACAATTTATATTCTGGGGCGAAAAACAATTTTCTGGGCGATATAGTAAAACATTATATTAAGAATAATTAGATATTTTATTCGTTGTATCGTACAATAATTAAACAAATAACATTATACTAGTCACTAGTCTATTCAATGCAATACGAATTTGGCGTTAGCCTTGGCCCTCGACATCGGAATTTTGAAGTGAAGGGGCGATACTACGTAACGGTTTTATTGAAGGGGACTATACTACGTTGAAGGGGGCGACGATTCGTTAGAGGTTAAGAAACACTGTTTTAGACTAATCGTAAATAAGCGAGCAGTACACTCTTGTAAAGCCGAAAAAATTGGAGGAGTTACCTAAGTTAGTCGAGCATGTAGCTACTTCAGTGTAATGACTTTATTCTTATAAAATATCTTTGTTTTACGAAATTGTTAATCGGGAGAAAGAAAAAAATAAGGATAATCTCAGGAGGAGCAATTAGTTATCTTAATATTTGTTTTATTCTTTTTAATTTTCCTGTGGGCCCTTTCAATCAATATACACACACAATCATTAAAATTATGAATAACAAGATAAATAATTTATTCACCTGCATTGCAGTGTTAATTTTCATATGACAAATCGAAACATTTGTACTGTACTTAATGGATTATTCCCGTCTGGTTAAATTGATTTATATACTTATGACGTCCCTTCAAATAAGTCTAATATTTAGTTTAACTTTTATAAAAATAGCTCTTGACAAATATATGTAGTTTTAGTTAAAATAAACCAGCAACGAGTTGTTCAACTTTCACTGACAAGTGAGACATTTAAAATTTTGGTAACGCCATCTGTTATCATATTTTATTAAAACAAATTTTTATATTTTTAACTATTATAAAAACGGCAAAAAGCTTAATTTTGAGGGTAGGAATGAGTTTTATAAAAAAATTGTGTATGATAATAATAAATAAAATCGTCATTAAGTCCGACCCTATTATGTCCCCACCCTCTCGATCTTTAATTAATTAATCACCAAAATTTAATAGTATCGATCCCCTAAAACACAAACCTCCCAGCAAAATTTCAGAAATTATTGAAAAAAGCAAGCGTGAACAAAATCGTATCACACACTAACAACCATACATACAGATAAACTTTCCGAATTTTTTTATATTTCAAGGTGTCCTGAGTCCAAAAATTAAAAATCTTGGGGGTCATTTTTTTTACCTATCGTCATACTTTCCCTCTTATAACAGCCGAGAAAGTAAAAAGAAAGCCATCATTTTTTTCAAAAAACACGAAATGAACAAAATGAAATACGAACCGATCGTAGAATAAATGTAGTTAAGCAGTAGATCAGATATTAAAACGTCTCTTAGGAAAGTCAAAACAAGCGTATTTAATTTAATAAAAGAAAATTATATAATAAATATGTACCCGAGTGTAAAATTGTAAGTTTGTAATTAAATGTAAGTGGCTTTCTTTCCCACCCTGAATAATAATGTGTTAATAAAATAATAGTCTATTCCAGCTGATTTTATATTATGTGTAATTAAAAAAAATTATGTTACCTGTAATAACACAGTCTTTGTTAAAACAACATTCCACATACGTATTCCAAGTTTAATTGTAGATACAGTTTTCATAAAATTTAAAATCTGAAATTATGTAATATTTATTAAACGAATTATGTTTTTGTTTTCTTTTTAAAATATATAAAATTATGATAAAGATATGATAAAGATAAATACAGTTTAACTAGAAAATATAGTCATTTACGGGCATAAAATTTTAAAGGTAATTTTCCTTATTTATTTCTTTCATATTAATGACACCAACTAATTTTAAATTATTTTCAATTTTAAAATTTATTCATAATATATAATATACATAGGAAAAGATTTTGTTTATGAAGTTCGATGTAAAAGTTTCGCGATGCTTTTGAGATTTGGATGCAAACTTTGAGATGCCCACAATACAGTTTGATTAATTTTAATTCGAAAACGCCCACCAGTGACCGGATGGCGCGAACCTACGATCAACTGAACATTGAATCAGTGTTCGGTGAGTCGTGGGTTCCCACCTGGCTAACGGGTCGGACACGTGGTTTTTCGAATTTTCTTCACGTGTTGTAACACCTGAATAGGGGCAAGTTTACCATAGAAAGAAAGTTCTCCCGGGAAGCGTCCTCTCTTGGCAGTTTGCCCATGTATTGCGTTGCCGTAACCAATAAAAGTAAACTAGTGAATACAATAACCACGAGATCCACAATTTTTATCTACTCTTGATAAAATTTCCAACGAAAATATATTGATTTTTATTATTCGTTCGAGTCGCCCGATTGAAGTTATTGATTTCGTAATGATCCAACATCACAATCGGGATCAATTAAGATTTTTATCACGCGTTCAAATTCTTAACAACTTGCATGCCGTAAACTTTACGGCGTAAAGTAAGTCGATATGTCACGAAGAGTACGATTTACGCTATAAAAAAAATGAAACATATTTGGTATACTACTACTGTTTTATCACGTGTTTTTTTTCTATTTTTTCTATTGCATATATTTTTTTAATTTCCTGGTCACTTGAGCATTTAAAAGGGTATTAACTTATTCTCAACGTATTGCATCATTGATGAATTGCGATTGATTAGATTGCGATGAGAGTAAGAGCTAATTATTATTGTTTAGGAAAAGCTTACAATTATTGACTGTATTTTAATTGGCGCTCGGCCAAGTAAAGCAGTGTTCCGCAACCTTTTTCTGCTCGCGGCACACCTATGACTCGACATGACTCAACACGGCACACTAAAATGTTATTCCCCATAATAACGTATGATACGATACTAGTAATAAAATTTCATAATGCCATAAACCTATTATTATTATTATTATGTTGAGTTTTGTGAGTTACACTCGGTTGACACCGATGGCTGTGTACTATGCCGGACCAGAGTCAACGCATAGTAACTTCAAAACAAGACAAAAATTAAATAAGTGTGTCAATGTGAGGACCCAAACGGGGTCCGAAAGGAGGCAATTAACTACTTTTTGAATGAGTCAAGTTTCGTAGTGCGAAAGAGCGAACTTAAAGATCGGATTTAAACAATGAACCTTTTGTCTTGTTAAAATATTTTAAACAATAGATAAAGTCGAGGAGAACGAGGTTGGAGAGGAGTCGGGTTCCGACGCGACGTTGACCTTTCCCGCGCCCTTCGGTGGGGTTTCGAATTGTCACCATGTGACGAGGAGAGACCAATGAAGATGCGACGGCGGTGGAAAAATCGATAAAACCGCGTTTTCGGGAACTTTACCAGGTCTTGGGTTGTGGTGTGTAGTGCTCACCTGCGGGGACGTGGTGCTCACGACAAAGATACAACGTAGGCTCTTTCGACGCCCTGGAAGCGGTTTCGCCAACCCGTCACGTCCAGAAGGGCCGAGGTCACGTCCAGAATCGCCGAGGTTCGACCCGTCAACCGAGGACATATCTACAAGTGCTGGTGCGTGCCACGGGGCCATCGTTCTCTGCGTCCAGTGTGCCGAAAATACCCAAGGACCGATCGAACAGTCGAACTTTTCCGTTTTTATTAGAACTGTTTTAGTATCCCATCGTTGGATAGGCTTTCGCCGGACATATTGAATTGTTGTAAGAACAATTTATATATATTATTAAACGGTTTTATATGGTAAACCTGTTTCGGTCAGTCTTTCTGCGCCCACACGACAGTAATGACCGCTCGGTTGTCGAAATCTCCTCACCCCAATCGGCTGACCTCACATCAATGTGGTCTGTATTCAGGAATTTCCTAACAATATGACATGTATTCAATACAGTGGCCTTCTGTAGTGTGATATATGTGTTTCTATTCAATTTTAATGTTCCCAGGCTTTTGTGTAGTGTGTGTGGTATCACACCTGTACAGGAGAGAACGACAGGTACAATAAGCACCCTTTCCATCCTCTATAGATGCCTTATTTCCTGGGCGAGTTCTGTGTACTTGCTAATTTTTTCACTGCATGTGTTTTGTACATTGTGAGTGTTTGGAACAGGTATGTCTATAATGTATGTGATTTTATTGTGTTTGTCAATGAGTGTATGTCTGGTCTGTTGTGGTAAATTGTTTTATCACATTATGGCTGTTGTAGTACATTTTGTGCGTGTTGTTTTCTAAAACTATCTGTTGAACGTATTTGTAGTATGGTTCGTGAATGTGTACCAATTTGTGTTTCTTTGCAAGCTCTTGATGTATTTGCTACTTGATTATGTCTATGTAAATTATCTGTCTGTGCCAAGAGCTTGCAACCAGAAGTGATGTGTTATATGGTTTCTGGCATAATGTGACATTTTCTGCATGTGTCATTTATGATTGTTATATCTTTGAGTATGTGTTTTCTGTAGTTTTTAGTATTTATAACCTGATCCTGTATAGCAATCTTCCGTCTCCCCAAAGAGGCATCCCCGAGCTAACCAGCTGTTTGACGCAGTTATCAACAAAATCGTGGCCCAGGTCATAGGGATGTCTGCCATGGAGTGCCTTTCGCACACATGATTGCTTAATGGTGTCTATGCTATTTATGTTGTGTCGTGTCCATACGTTGTGAATGTAAATTTAATGGTGTATTATTTGAGTCTGCTAGAGTTACTGCTTTATGTAACTGTGATGTTTCTTGTTTTTTGTAAAAAAAATAACTCTCGTAATGCCTGTATTTGTTTGTAGTGGAGGTTAACTATGTCGATCAGGCGACGTCCGCCATCTTTCTATGGCAGATTTAGGATGATGTTGTTTATGCTTAGTAAGCGTTGTTTTTGTTTTCCTTTGGAGTTGCTCAAGATCTGTGTGAGTCCAATGTATAACTCCAAAAGAATAAGTGAGTACTGGGACGACATATGTTTTTATTGCTTTAACATCATCTTATTCCACATAATATACAAGCAAAAGAAACACAACAACTGTGATAAAAATATATAAATAACACTTGAAATTAATAGAATATGTAAAAGTTTACATCACACCTTTCACTTTGTGACGGCACACCGGTTGTAGAACTCTGACAGGACATCTCTATCTGAAACTACGATTGAATGGATACCAATACAGAGAGGAAGGCCAAGAAACAGATATCTTAATATATTTGCAGAAATACCGAAACTTCTTGGAATTACGAGGTATAGCGAAACAGATTGCCTACTGCGATTTTAGTTGTCTAGTTAAACAGGCAAAACTAAATAAGAAAAATGAAGCAGAATTCTATAACTAACACAACTGTTTCAACCAAATACTTCATTATATTCTAATACGAATCACTACAAAAAATAAATTTCGATCATTTCCCGTGGGCCGTGTTTTTGGATTGCAATTTTCAAAATTTAGAGACCCATAAATTCGCATTGATGTCTGTCCGTACTTAGTCTCGAGAACGGAGCTAGATAGATGAAATTCGAAACCAGATATGGAAAGTTTATGGGCGGGAAACCCCGCTTAACTAAGTTATATACAAACTTCAGGTTTGGACTGGAAGTCAGGAAATTTCAATTCAAAATTTTCTCCCGGAGTTAGATCATAGCATGACTCCATTGTGAACGAAAAAGTATGATGTACGGGGCAAGATACTACTAAACTTAAGTGCATTGCGACGAAAAATTGCAGCCCGGCGTTGTGACGATATAAATGCTTTTTCGTTTTTTAACTTTGTCTACGCGTTTTCTTTATACGAATTGTTTTGCAGGATTATCATTTACTCAAGATCAAGTTGCATTCAAAGTTAAATAAGTCATTTTGTCTTTGGTTTCATAATCACATTTTTTCATTTGCTATTTAATCAGGACATCTCAAAATGTTTATAAACCTCCACAGATTATTACCACATATTATTTATCTCTGATAATTACTTGATGACGAAGTTTTGAGTCGAAATGACTAAAATTCCCTTCGAACTCATCACATAAAAAATTCTATTATTTAATATTTTTAAAATAAAAGTACTAAAATTCAAAAATTAATTAAAAGTAGCGACGTGTGCCTGGCGTCTGAAAGAGTGTGAAATTGAGAGAGGGTGATAAAAACAATGGTCCTAGTAACTAAAATGTGCATTTATTGACCGGAGTACTTATAATAATGAATCTGTAAAAAACAAAAAAATTGCTCGGGCTTGCGAAACAAAGATGAAAGATCATTATCGTTTCGTTGTATTCATTTGGTGATCGAAATTTCGCAAGAGCATTAAACATTGCTGATGCTTCTATAGATCTGGATTGTGAGGTGGTAGTCCAGCTAGTTCCAAGGAGTTTAAAAATTCCACCAGGTATGTTCGGCAACACATTTGTTTTTAGATTCCAATATTGCTCTCTCGTATATCCGTTTGTTGTTTATGTAGTAAGTGTTATCAAATTAGTATCCGAAACTTCAGTGAATTTGCCATCACCGAGACACGAAAGTTGTTTAGCAAAATTCTTTGCAGATCTGTCTCCCGACAGATGGACCCTCATCTATAGGGACAATATTTTAATATCATTTCACAGTGATGATGCCTCATCTATAGGGACAATATTTTAATATCATTCCACAGTGATGATGCCTTGAGGCAGGCATTAAGCTACTCGGCAGGCGTCGGCAGGCAAACCAACAATCTATTATCAACAATCAGAAAACCAGCAATTAGCATTTATTTATTATTTTTGTCAACAGATAACGGTACAGGTAAACGATGCAGAATCTACCCCAATTTTTCGGGGTAATATATAGCTTAGTATCGATTTCAGGGTATAAGTAGTACAGTACTTATACAAAGTTTGGTCCAGGTCGATTTAAGAATAAAGATTTGTATAAAGGACAAACCTTCAAACCAACAAGAATTGATGTATACATAGATTTAATTTTAACTAAGTTCTGAATTTTAGTGCCTAATAAAATCATAAATATTACTATATTGCAATTAATGCCTATAATTAATTATTTTAACTAGGCTTACCGGACGTCTCGTTTTGACCGGAACTGTTATGGTTTGATGAAGTGTCCCTGCGTCCCGGCCGGTTTGTCATTTTGTCCTGGTTATTTGATAAAATTTTAAAAGGGCCGAATATATACAAGAAGTAAAAATATGCAGCCTGGAGTAAATGGCGATTTGGCAACTAAAATGTCTCCTCTGTTTCACTTACTGTTGCCAATCTAAATATTTTGTATCTAGATCTAAGTAGGCTACTTTTAACATTGTCTAGCTTTTTTCTTTAAAATGTATAGCATGTGGCCTAATGAATTTAGATGTTTTATTTTTTTTTATTCAGATAGTTTTTTACAGAATTTATAATAGCATGAAGCCTACGAGATCTAGGTATTTTTATTTCATTTTTAGATATTTTGTTTCAATTAGAGTTGGCAACATTGAAACTTATTCTGTCCACGTCATTGTTGCGCATGTTCTATCTTACTTGTTAGTCGAGTTCGAACTTCTAGTCGGCAATTGCAATTATTTTGTACTGTACATTAATTTAATCTCCAAAATACACAAAAGAAACAGTGTGTTTACTGATGAGTTAAAAAAGGGTTAACCGTTTTCAAAAAGTTTGTGATTGTATTGAGAAAGTGAAATGTAAACTGTACTTTTTAGAATTTTCAGTAGCTCATGGTGGGCGTTTGGACATTAAAAATCACTTTGAATGTGCGAAACATAAGGCGTGTCTAGTAGCAGCGGAAGGAACTTCTTCAAGTATATTGTCATATTTTAATGGTACCGATTTAAGTGACAAAGAATTTTTAAAGAACGTTTACACTAGTGATAAATATCAATAAGTTTTTAATAGTAGACCTATGTTCAGTTGAGTTATTAAAATCGGTTTTTAACTCGTCGTTTTACTCGTTAACAACTTTTTTATTTAGCTTTTTCAATTATAGGTACTGTACTTATTCTAGTAGGCTTTATTTTTGCAAAATTATTCCCGTTTGAGAAAAAAAAAATATTATGGTAAGCATAATTTTAACTGAAGTAAAATTGAATTGAGATAATGCATTTCCATTGAACCTAATTTGTATATTTATAATTTATAAGAATTACAATTAATATTCTATTATTTTCTTATGCTCGATTCTTTCAAAGCTGACATGCTCGTTTACGCGACATCCATAATGCACTAAATTAGATTAAACAGAAAGATTAACTTGTCGAAGCTTATCGCATGGAATTATCTCCGATGATAATTACCATTCACTAAAATTTCAGTCCTTACCGAGCTTAAAATTCTATACAGTATATTAATTGAATCTTTTCGTTAGTTAAGATTGACTCGGGTGTTCACATTTGACAAATACTTAGATAAGATCACACGTAATTTTTGAAATATCATTCTTTCTATAATTTACGTCGCACATTGCATAGCTGCGTTAACGACTAACACCACAGTCAGTGACTCAAAATTATAAATTAATAGATTGAATATTGGGTCATCATTTTTATTACATTCTTTGGATTCCTTTTCGCGATTAACGAAAAATGACAATTTTTATCAAAATCGTCCCATCAAGTTTTGAGAACGAACGCAATTTTGTGAGATACTTCAGTTTGTTTAACTTTGGTCGATAAATTTGCGTGTTTAGTAATTTATGTCACCTGATAAACTATAATAGCAACATTTTAATTACTACACAAAGTCATAGCAAAAGGAAAATGCCGATACACAAATTCCTTCTGTAAAATGCACACGTGGAAGAAACAAAAATTTCACATTGGAATTTATCACGTTACAGGAACAACAGCGACACACAACGAAGTCGACTTTTATTTTCAGGCTCTTATCCGCCTTAATTTAAAATGTGAAATCGACTTCCTTGTGGTGTGATAAGGATAAAAATGCGAAAGACCTTGCGTTTTTCTACGTGTGTATTCTACAAGCATTTATCGACCATGTTTATTTTTAGTTGTCATTTCTGGTTGATACTATAATGCAAAATCAAATATTTCCATAATATGAATAATAATAATTTATAAATATATTAAATTTAATTTATTTCTAATTCAGAATCTTGCAGATTAAAATATCCCAAAGTTTTCCTTCTAAGTTACTTGAAATCTTTTAATTACCGAAATGTGAGCATTCTTTATAATTTTATTAATCAAATGGGATGCGTTTGATTAATAAAGTTTGCATTAGTTAAAGATTTTGAAATGAAAATTAAAATAATCAAAAATTCGAATAATTAAAAAACATATAAATAAAAGTAAATTAATAATAAGAATCTAGTATATATCCTCTAATCCTCAATCACATAATAATAAAACTTTAATTGTATTTTATTCGGATTGTTTGAACAAACTGAAAATATGATAAATAATATATAATAGTTTATTCTATCTATATTAAAAGCTAATGTTTAATATATATAATATATTATATTTTTAAGAGATATTAAGAAATTAAGCCGAAAGTTTGTATTGTATCTTACGTGCTTATTACATTCGTTTATCATTAGAGCTACAACATACAGGCATTAAAAATCATATATAGTAACTCGGGGGAAGATGGTTATACTTTTGTTTGAATACGATTACTTCTCTCGGATTTATAGTTTATAAAGTATGACCAGGCACATAAGATGCCTTGTACCTTTGGTGTCTTGAAGGTAAACATGCTTCTCATCTGTTACATTAATTTATTGAAGGAAAATTATATAAATACAGGAAAGCGAAAGAAAAGTTTATTGCAGAGCTTTTTAATGCAAATTAACTTACCAAAAATAAAATTTACATTATGTTACAAATCTGTAGCTTATTTACATAAAAAACAAAGAAGCTGAATTACTCATTATTCTACATCTCGGAACACTCAGATCACCGTCATCTGTTGTGCTCTCATCATTAGGTTCAATATCGTCGCCCTTGAAACAGAAGATTGCAGTTGTATACGTCTCACGCATCCATGTCCTTGACCTTTCACATTCCATTCATCACAGGACCACGTTTAACAGGTATTTTTAGAAAGAGGGGAGAGAGACTCCAGGTATCACCCAAAGGTACAACTTGGAGGTTGGGAGAGAAAGGTAATGAAATAAGAAGTAAGGTGAAGAATAGGAGATGAAAGTTGGTGAAAGTGGAGGGGGAGGGTTAAAGTTGGGAGCTCATGGCGCCTGCAACGCATTTATTGACAACATAATAAGTTTACAAATACAAAACACAAATACAAGGTACAAGATACAAAATAGAAATTACAGTATGACAGTAGAGTGTGCCTGGTATGACAGCTAAACAAACCAATTGTATACCGATTATGCAACTGTTACAGAAGGCAGGAACATAGTTAACAAACAGTTGCTGTTACAAGAAAAACAGGTAACAATTTGTGTACCGATATGAAGATGCGGGACATTTACATCGAGAGAACGATAATGCAATTGAGAACAATACATTCAAGAAGTAAAATTACAAGACAAGCAATTAGATACAGGGTGTATTTTTTATCTTGAGACAATGAAATATCTTAATTGGATTTTATTATTTTGGAAAAAGGTATAAGCAAAAGTTGTAGGGTGTCGAGGGGGTAATAAATTGGTGACCTCAGACATGAACTTGACCTTGACCTTCAAAGTCATTTGGAGGTCAAGTCCGTTTTTTTCAATGGAACACATTTTTGACCCCGGAAATGGAAAGAGCAGGAAATTTTACATTCAAATATACCCTTGATCTTAGGTATAGGTCAAAGATAAAAATTATTTTAAGGTTAAAATTAAAACCTTTTACTAATGGGAGAAAACCATATTTTTTATTACTGGAATAGACAGGGAGGTAAAATTGCCGCCATTTTTCCTAAATCGGACGAAAATTGAGTTGAAGTAGCTTCCATTAAACCAGATGAATACGAGAAACCCGATTGCGCTTCATTCAAGTCAGCCATGGTGCCTGTTATGCCCGAAATCATGTTTAAACACTATGTCATAAAATTATCTTTTAAATAAAGCCAACACCATGGCCATTAACATTATTTTTACGTGTTTTATTTAATTTTAAATTTGTATATCTCTAAAAAAAACCTATATATATATGCACAAATTTTTACATCATCAAATTTATTTCACGGAAAACTAGACTTTCATTGAATAACACGAATGCGTATAAGATGGTTTTTCACGTTATTCACAATTGAATTTGGCTGTCTTGTTGTTTCACCAACAGATACACTTAACAAGTGTTCTATTTTCATTATTTCCAAAGTAAATACCGATTGTCTTAGGTTTTTTCCCGTAAATAGCATTCTAGAAGAAGCAAGCAATAATTTCAGACGCTAATTTCATACCTACAAATTTTTAAATCGTTATAAATTGAAAAATACTCACAGAAAAATACTGGAAATAAACACGATGAAATGCTTTGATGCGCTCAGTATTGTGAATACGGTAGTGAAACCATACGTTGAAAAAAAAACACACGAACTTTGAGGTCCTAGCATCTCCCCCTATAACCATTTTCCCCGAGTTATCTTAAATAGTTATATAACTTACAGCATATATGATTTTTTGTGCTAAGATGCTCTTGCCGTGGTTATAACATACGTTTAATTACTACTCGATAACAGAAAGAATTAAACGTACTGTACAAGAAAAACTTTAATAACTTCAATCAGAATATTTTTCAAATATCAGAAATAATAGAGAAAGGTCACAATAAACACTTACTTGGATCATTTGCGCTTCACTTAAATCCGATAAAATTAATAAGCGACATAGTGAAATATATAATTTCCTATTCTGTAAATATCAAGAAATAATATCAGTTTTGTTTTACTTTCTATAGATAAAATAGAGCTTTATAGATAAAGAATGCAAATGCTTACGTTAGTTGATATCAGCGAGCTGTAATAAGCAGCAGGAACTAAGAACATGATATATAACGATAATGTAATAATTAAAATTGCATTCGGCGGACCGTCGTTATAAATAATGTGAATAATTACGGTGTAACTATTGAATATCATAAACAGGTTCAATACACTAAAAACATTGAGGATAAATACATTTTCGCAATCCACAAGTTGGCAAAGTCTTTGATAATATAAAAATATGCTATCGAAACACATTCCGTACGAAGACGTTATAGCTCGAAGCCAGTTGTTTAAATCTTGAAATTTTTGTATGGTGGCATAGAACATAAAT